CTCTGGGGTTAGCGGTCACTGAAGGTGCCCCCTGCCCCCTGACTCTGCACAGGGTGGTTCAGTTCCCACAGGGGTCTTAACAGGCAGGCCTTTATCTTTGGGCCCTCCGGCAGGCTTCGTCCCCGGACCCTGCACCTCCCTACAAGGAGCCCCATCATTCACCCTTTACCTCCCCCCCCCCCCCCGCCACTTCTTTCTGGTCCATCTTAATACACACTGAGGAGAACACCTCCCTTCACAAAGAGATGTATTTTAAGAGGAGCAGAATCCTCTCACAGAAGCACACAAAGCAAAACTGACAAAGTTGCTCCTCAGCAGCTCTGCCCACCCCACCCCACACTGATTGCAAATGATGCGGTCGCCCGGGTGATGATGTAATTGCCCGGGTGATGATGTAATTGCCCTGGTGATGATGTGGTTGTGTGGGTAATGATGTTATTGCTTAAGACAAGATGCAGTCACCCAGGTGATCAATTAATAGCCCGAGTGATGATGCATAAATGGGTTAAGAGGATATGGTAGCCAGGTAGCTGACTGAGACCGGTTTATCCCAAACCACATCAGGGCCACCTGGCACCCATTAAGGAATCCCTGACTTTCAGCAAATAACCCTCAAGAGGAAGAAATATCCAGAAAATCACCATACTCAGGACAACTCTCTGAACAGAACAGGCCGCACAGGGTACAGCTATGTTAAAATAGACACTGACAATAAAAATCAGCATGGGATGTGTATTAACATTAATTCTGTGATGAACACATTAAGTAAATGAACAGAAGATTCAAGCTGAGAACGCTCTTCTTGTAAAATCTTCCAAAAGAACCTCATCAGCCACCCTAGAGCCAGCGCAGGGGTACATCCATGTGCGGACACAGGATGTGGGTCCATGGTGACCCCAGTGGCTCACTGACATCCACGTCCTGCTCCACTCCATGTTCACTCAGTCCCTCATCCCCAGAACACAGCTGTTCGGGGACCTCTGGGTCGCTGACACTCTAACGTCATCGTCACTGAGCCGCCTGCAGGCTCGAGACCACAGTCAGCCAGCGATGGCCTGGGACAGGATGCAAATGGCAACAAAACAAATCCAATTCTGGTACAGCTCTGTCCCCTTCTTCCATTGGTAGACCGAAGCGGCAACCAGCCAATCAGAGTGCAGTAAACACACAGGCTAGGAAGTCAGCCTGATGGCTGAAACTCCACACCCATGGAGCCTTCCTGGGTAGAGGGGGACAGGGCTTCCTGTTTATCCTTTGCTCTCTCCCATGGTAGGGGCCTTCTACTCTGCCCCAAAAGGCAGAAGAATGACCCCAAGACCAATTGAAAGACACGTTTTTATGTTTCCCATCTAGGAAATTAGCCCCATCAGGGAGCCGTTTCCATGGAGACACATGTACACAGGGTGGGAGCTCTGTTTCATACTGTCAGACATCTCAGATTGGGGGCAGGACCCGTCCCGCCAGCCCACTGGGCCACTGACCCACAGACAGAGACCCCCGCTGATAAACAGCCCCCCCCCCCACCCTGACCCTGTCACTCACCTCTCCACCACTTCCTCGCCGTTCCAGCAGGTCCAGAACTCGTCCACCATTTCCGTCTCACACAGCATCTCCGGCAACGTGGCGAAGAACGTCCTGTAGCGCTGGATGTAGCTCATGAATTCCCTGTACGGGGTTACAGAGAGCACAGTGCAATATCAGGCTCTTGTCTTCTCCAACAGACAATGGGACTAAGCTAAACTGTACCCTACAAGGGGCAGGATGGCGGAGGGTGCGTGCAGAGTGCGAGGGGCCGACTGTGAGATTTTAATCATCATCATCATGTAGGAATTTTTACAATGATGATGTCGGCCCATTCGGCAGTCTAATTTATTGCTACACTCTCACTGGGCTCCCCGTTTTATTTAAAAGCCTGGATACGTTTTATTTATGCCCTGGGAATCGTTCACAGCAACTGCTTCCTGCCAACAAAGCATTCAATTTGGATGCGAAAGAGATAGTTGGGGGGGGGGGGGTGTCACAGATAAAGGGAGCGTACATGTTCATTTTCGAAAGCTGCTGCCTGTATGTGTGCATTCTGCTTAGCAATGGGAAAATGTGAAGGATGGTGAAGAATAGAGAGCTAGTGGCAGAGAGAGACACGGAGAGACGGAGATGGAGACGGAGGTGGAGGTGGAGACGGAGATGGAGAGACGGAGACGGAGAGACGGAGATGGAGACAGAGATGGAGAGACGGAGACGGAGATGGAGAGACAGAGACGGAGAAAGAGAGACAGAGATGGAGATGTAGACGGAGGTGGAGGTGGAGACGGAGATGGAGAGACTAGGACAGAGACGGAGACGGAGATCCGGAGACGGAGATGGACAGACAGAGACGGAGATACAGAGACGGAGACAGAGATGGAGAGACAGAGACGGAGACGGAGACGGAGACAGAGATGGAGAGACGGAGACGGAAACAGAGATGGAGAGACAGAGACGGAGACAGAGATGAAGATGAAGAGAGCCTCCTGGGATATGCTGATGCTCCCTAAACGCCTCCTGGCATCTGAAGCATTATTATTGTTGTTGCTGTTATTACCGTAACCTATGAATCTGCCTGGGGGCCCAAATCGGTGGGACCCTCCCTCCGAGCCCCCAGCCCCGCGACACGGACGCCCCAAGAGGCGCAGCGGCGCCGCCCACAGACATGCCATGCTTACCTAGAGATCTTTTTCACACTCCTAGGTTTATCATTCTTGGAGGGTTTCAGAGGTAGTGAGCTGGGGAGAGAAGGGAGGGATGGACGGAGAGGGGTCCGCATGAGGGTTTGGGGGGCGGGCGCGGTCAGTTGATGCAAGCAGGAGGATGCAGGGCAGGAGGGGTGGGAGTAGGAAGGATTAGAAAGCGGAATAAAAATTTATAAAAACAGAGATAAGAGAATATAAATGGACAATAAAACAGAACCGGGAACAACCAGCAACCCAAAGGCATGCATTTACGCAGTGGGCAAACATGGGGGGGGGGCGTAAGGAACGGCATGCAGGGGATGATCCAGGATCTTGCTGCCCGCCCTCCCTGAGCTTGTCCCAAATGAGCCAAGCCATTGCTCAAAGATCCAGAAGGTTTCAGTGCCCTGCATGCGAAACGGCCAGGGCTCCCATTAACGCTCAGACACTCCGGCATTCCTCACTGTCACCGGGCATTTCAGAAGCCGAAACACACAGTAGATTGTGTGCGCACGCAAACAGGAAGTGATGTCACAGCTATACCACAGGAGCAGTGGAGACTGGACGTGCGAGTATTATCATACACCTGCGCAGAAAGTAATGTTACAGGAAATGCACCATGCAAAATGTTGCTTTGACACAGATTACCTTCTCACCAGTACTGTCAGCAGGGCAGCAAATAACTGATGCAATCGTCCCCAGGAAATTGACTGGTAATTTGCCTTGTGGTGGCAAATATATTAGATGCAAGCAAAGCAAGAAGCCAAGTGGACACACCCACACTCCTCTAGATCCTGTGTGACCAATGTGCAAACTCACAGCAGGAGCGCTGTTTGGGTGGGGAGGACAGGGAGAGGCACCTCTGATTGGTTGTCTTACCTCTTCAGGTGTGCCAGTCGATCCAATGGGGCTTCATGCCTGGGATTAGGGGGAGGTAATGAGGAAGTCGCGGGTGGGGGCTGGGACGTGCTTGCTGCTGAAGACGCCTCGCTGTTCTGACCACATACTTTATCCACCTGTGGAGGGGGCATGATCTGTCACAACCAATGGATACTGATACTGCCAACTGAACAAGTCTCGACCCATACGAGTTTTAGCAGGAACGGTCAAGTTTGAGTTCCAAGGTTCTACTGTACTTTTTTTTTCTGTGTTCCAAAAGGCAAAAAATTAGCTGCAGCTAAGCAGCAAACTGCATGGTTAGCATCAGTGCACATACCATAAAATAACCAACAAATAATAGATAAATATCTAGATGGGTGATAGCTAGCTAACTGATTAGCTAAACTAACTGACATATTTGTTCAGATATCTGTTACATTTTGAATCTAATGTAATGTAATATAATCTAATCTAATCTAATCTAATCTAATTATAGCTAGCTACCTAATGTAAATGTATTTTCCTGTAACCTTTAACTGGTTCAATAACTATTGGAAGTATACAAGAGCTTCACTAACTGACTACTGCCAAGGCAATTTGTATGTTTTAACTATTAATAAACTTTCAGAAAAAATATATTTATATGTTTTGGTATTCTACAATATCATAGCTGGCTAGAAGTTGCCAATGGTTTAAGTCTCTTGGCCCCAGTAAAACTCCACGTTAATAAGCTTGTGTGTGCAATAGTGAACAGTGAAGAGTGCCTTTTAATCGAATTAGACGCTGGTATTGTTATATATTTACTATAATAAAACCTGTTCAATTTGTATACATGTCCCAATAATTTTTTAAAAGTGTAACAATACATCAGGCATAACGAAGAAGTGCAGGCACTTCAAATAGTTTGGTGTGAGGAGAAAATACTATTCGAATTGGAAGCGCACATCAGAAACGAAAATGTGCTTTGGAACGTAACTGTTACATTAGTAGATTAGTATTTGTATCTCTGTATAACAAGACAATGTATATGTCATTTGCATCACGTTAAGCAATGTGTGTAAAAGCAGCTCGAGATTACCGCTGTGTCACCCGACTGTGCTGATGGCGAGACGCGTCAGAAATATCAGTTCTAGTAGTATCACATTGCAGGAATAAAAAACGCGATATATCATAATATCAATTTTATAGTGCCGCCCCCGCCTCCAAAATGACATGTGACCAGTGGCCTCGGAGGATGATCCGGCCCGGCCCACACACGTTTGTATGGTGTGGTAATAAAGCAGGACCCCATAGTAGCGTGGGACTCCTAGATGTTCCTGAAGGGTAACCAGGAGTGACGGTGATGATGACAACCTTTGATTTGAGGTGCGACCCTCATCGACCGGGTCAGTTCAGCCAGGGCCTGACTGCATGCGATCATCACATCTCTCCTGTTCCATCAGACGCAAGACACTAAGGGGAACACAGGGAAGGTTTAACCCCTTAAAGTCAGACTTTTCAGCCTCTGACAAGACTGTGCGGATCTTCTAGCACCTTCAGGATTAAATTTGGGGCAGCCGAAACATTCCAGAGCAGACCTGAGCATATTTTAATCCAGCGGGGTCCAGCGTTGTCATTGCCAGACAGAGGTGAAAGACCTGTGAGTTTTAGAAAGCGACGTTTTTTTTTTCCTTTCCAGAGATCAACACTAGGATCAGACGGGAGCAAGCAGCTTCCCAACTTCGTCATGCTTCCTTCAAGGGGTGATGACCATCTGTCTGGCTTTTAACGGGGGGGGGGACTAAACTTGCACAAACACAGCGCTTCTGTGACAAATGAAGTTTGTGGTTCTGCAGGCCTGTCTGGATGGGTTCCAGCCCAAGAGCCAGGGCACATGTCGTATGAGACCGGAAGGGGAGGGATGGTGCCAATCCAGCCCAGCAGCAGCACACAGTCAGATGGGCAGGTCAAGCAGAATGAGATGGAGTTGTTCATCCCCACACACCCTCACGCTCCTGCAATGCGCCAAACATGAAGCCGACTTTCCTGCAACAGCTTCTCTTTTACACAACCCCGCCCCTCGACACCCCAAGCTAACTGTATTGGAAAATAACTAAGACTGACATCTCTGCAACTGGGACAAGCAGCCAGCTCCACGTAGGAGAGGAGGGACGCAAACTGATCCTGACCCAGGCTCAGCTCAGCCGATGAGAAGATATAAAGAGTCAAAAAGGAAGCAGATGGAGGTGAATAAATTCAGGTTCGGCACTGATCAACCGACAGGACATGAAGTCATTCAATGGGCTGACCTCTGACCCACCCAGCTGGGGGAAGGGGGGGTCACATCTCTGACCCCTGCACTGACTCTGAGCATCCTGTCTTCTTTTTAAGAAGATTATCTGCAGACTCACAGAACATGACAGGATCGATGCAAAGGTCTTTAAGGAGCCGTGTGACCGCCTGTGGAAATCAGGGGGGGCGATCTGCCCGTGTGGGTGCCTTTCTACATGCTGGCAAGCATTTTGATTCGCCTCTGTTTGGCTTTCGTCACTCTCACATCCGCTGCCTGTTTGCATACATCAGCGTGTGCATGTGAATCTCCCAGTGAGCTGTCCAGTGTCTGGAGGATTCTCAGCGACTGTCGGCTCTCCATTAAAGTGACTTGTTTGTGCGGGGATTAGCTACAGAGACTCCGGAACTTTCCCAATGGCTCCTCGAAGGCCTGTGCCGCAGGGCATTCTGGGAAAGGGGATACCCCAGCCAGCACTCGCACCCCTTTGTACACTGCTGGATTTGCATTCTGGGTCCCCTGGACACACTGCTCCCCCTCCCCCCCCCCCCCTCCCCATACTCCATTGGCTCACACACAGAGCCCGGGGGGAGAGCCCGGGGGGTTGTCACCGAGTCCAGCAAAAAACCCCCAGAAACAGCCTGAAAAAATTCCCACCAAAAGCACAAAAGCAAATATTCCCCCCACCACTAATGCAGACAGTTCACTTCAATCCAAAGACCACGTTTACGGGTTGGGGGCAAATCACCTCCCTGAGCGAGCATGTGCATTTCAGCTGCTGAACGTTTGATGGGATTTCTGCTGGCCTCTTAAAACCAAAAAGCTCCTGTTCACTGGAGTTTAATGAGCCATGCGCTGAGTAATCTGGAGCATTTTTCCAAGGACGGCCGGCTTGCTTTAATACAGACATGTCGTCCTCCTCATCACGATGAAGACCCCCCCCCCACCATCGATAAACTCAGATAACAGTGATCCTGCCGAGCACTGCTAGTGGCCTGGCTCACCACCAGCTCAGTCGGGGAGAGGGGAGAGCCCCTGACAGGACCAAGGAACAGCTAATCCTCCAGGGATTGCCATATATCCTCCAGCTTGCAGAGGGAAGCAGGATGGATGTGATTGGTGCAATCCACCTGTCAATCAGCAAGCCCCGGTCTGCTATTTCCTGTGAGCATTTCAGTTTTGTTTCATCGAGGCTCCACTGCCGACAGCCCCGACGCCGACTCTCAACCCTGCCCCCCCACCCCCCAATCCATCACCCCGCTCAGGTTTCCATGGTCTAAACCGGAGCTCCCATTAACATCATTCTCCGTCGACGGGTGACTGATTTAGGTCGGTGCTCCGTCAAGGAAGACGGAGCTGAAGGGAAAAATGCGCCAGTGGCCCCCGGGGGCCGAACAGCCCCACCCAGGGTCAGGGGTGGGTTTGGATAGACACTCCTACAGCTCTGTGCTGCTTCTGATTCACCTATACAACTCAAGTAACATGACGACTCACACATCTAGGTGTGCTGATTACAGGTCACTCCCTTTGGATGCTAATGTGTCTGATTTGAGCCCTGAGGCAGCCAGCAAGCTAGTGGCCATTTTTACCGGCCATTTCTGGGCACAAAAGCTTCTGGAAACAGGGCTCAGGGGTGAGGGAGGTGCCCTGTGCTGCAGGGGCTGTGGGTAATGTGTTGTCGCTCCTGCCTGTGTGTCACCACACACAGCCAATCACTGCTGGTCAAAGTTAGCGTTTAGCAGTCAGTGTGCCCCCCCCCCCCCGGGTGTGGCCCAGGGACAGAATCAGGGCTGTCTCCTTCCCCACCCACCAGGAAATAAGACACCAAGACAGGGTCAGGCAGTGGCTGCCGGAACGTCCCAGGCCCTTGGCGAGGTATCATCAGCAGATTGAGACCGACTGGCAGCCCTTGGAGGAAGACGTGGCTTTCGGGGGTGGTCTATCAGCTAATGGGCTCTGTGTAACTTGCTGAAAAGGCAAAACTGGATGACTTGGAGGGATGGGGAGGTGGGCATCCCATGTGCTGACTTTTTAGGAAGGACCAGAAAACTGCACTCCCCCCCCCCCACCTCAAAATCAGGTTCCCATTATACAGTCCTCAGTTCCTATTCACCACATTTTCAGTTAAATTGAACCCCCCTCCCTCTACCCCCCAGGGAAGGAAGCAGGCGGGGGAACTTTCCCAGGGCTGCTGCTGATTATCACAGGATGCAGGAGAACCACAATATCCTAAAATGACTGGGGGGAGGGGGGCTCCCGGGGAGGACTGCGGTAGCTGGGGAACGTGCCGCTCACCAGGGCGACGACCCCCACTGGCAGGACCAGTCAGCACGAGTCACCACTGCAGCCTTTGGGCGGCCTCTTCCTGCTGCTCCTCACTTCAGCTCCCCTACTGTTCACACAGTGAACAGGTGGTTGTGACCCCACACCCCGCCAGTACTTCCAAACCCAGTTAAAATTCCACCAGATTGACATTGTGGCACTGATGGCCTCAGACTCTCGCCCTCCAGTGTCTTTGCTATGCCGCCGTTTTGAATCAGCTGCACATGGTGAGACAATTTGAGAACGTCAGTGCAATCCCCCCAACTCTAACTCCACCTGCCCACCCAAGAGCCCGACTTCCTGCCCAGGAAACCCAGGATACATGCTGACATTGTGCTTCCCGCAGGTCATGGGGGTCAGAGGTCAATTAGTGGGAGCACTGAAGGTCATTGATCTCAGTGGCATAGCGGAACATTCCATTTTATGGGAGCAATTTCAACCAAACCCTATGGTTTATCCCCCTACCACCCACCCCCAGCCTGTAGGGTTAATCCAGGTCACAGTCCAGGTAATGTCACACGGTGATGGATGGAGGTCTGTCTGACCCTGAGAGGCTTAGGCTGATCTGACTTGACAGTCTCTGAAGGGTGCTCCAGGTTTGAGATGGGCTCCTTTGATAGGCCTCACTCTGCGTATTGCCTATTTTGTATTTTCCAGTGCTTCTCATTGCTTTCATACGCCCCTCTGAGCTCCCCTCTGCCCCATCGCAGCCCCCTCCACTAACCCGACCAATGACTTCCCATCGTGTTTTGCGCCAAATGGGCTTCTGGACGAATACCATTGAAAGGCTCTCACCCCCAACATATGACCAAATGAGCCACCAACCACACCCGCCCCCTCTCACGTCACTTGGCAGAGTAACAGTGCCCCTGTTGGTGCGTGTGGGTATGGCATCGGCTCGGACACTCACGGTGGCGCTGATGCGCGGGCCGTGCAGCTGCGTGTACAAGATGGCCTCATTGACCTGGTCACGGATGCCCAGCAGTGCCAGCTCCAGGTCATGGGCCCCAGCCAGGGCCCCAGTGAGGCCCTCGAGGACAGCGACGTAGCGGCGCCAGGGTGCATCCAGCTCCGAGAGGCCAGCCAGGCAGCCGCGCATCACATTGAGGCAGTAGCCGGCGCAGGGCCGCACAAGCGTGAGCCCACGGCAGTGAGGGCAGTACTGCATGCGCACCAGGGCGCGGCCGCACTCCCGTGACAGCGGCGCGCTCTCCGTGGCGTTCAGGGCCTCTGTGCCCGCTGCCAACGCCCGGCTCAACGCCCGGCCTGCACGCAGCGCCCGCTCCAACTCTGCCGCCAGCGCCTGTGGGTGCGGCCCAAATGGGCTCAGGTCCCGGCGTGTGGCACGTAGGCACTCGGCCCGCTGGGCCACCGGAGGAGGTGAGCCCGGGGTCAACAGCCGCCCGTATACTGGTGGAAAGAGCTCGTCAAAGAAGCGGGCCACAGCGCCCTCTGCTGTCACGGCACCACCCTGCAGGAAAAGTGCCAGGTCGCCGAAGAGGCCTGCCACCGGGGGTCGTGCATCCTGCGCCAGTGGCTGGTAGGCAGTGTCGAAGAGCGCCAGTGTATGGTTCATGGCAAAGGAGACCAATGACTGGAAGGTGTCTGCAGAGATAGGAGGGAGAGGGAGAGAGAAAGCGGTCCATTACCATGGATACCACAATGCTTCCAGTCCCCATGGTAACAAGAGGCAATGTTATGTGACCAAAGCCCCACATTATGCTGATCTCTCTGACACATATAATTTGCTTGTTTAGGGAACATTTAATAACAGTTAATAGCAGATGAGGAGGAGATTCTAGAAATAACCACCATGCAATGAGCTCATTAATAAATCCATCAGTGTTTATTCCCCGCCCCCAACAGGTCGGGCTGCCTGCGGCCGGCTCCCAGGACCCCAGCTGCCGATACATGGAAAATCCTGGAAGGATCCGCAGATGAAAACGAAGCGGCTCAGCTTGGCTCAGCGGGAGCTGGAACCCACCCACAATGGCCAGTGGGTCGCACCTCCAAACACTCCGCGAATCAAACTTTCTGGCGTGGCCTCATGCAGCCATACCATAAATGGCCTCTTTTCTCCAGGACGGATTTGCTGAGGAATGGATAAATAAATTAAATGACATTACTAAGCAAAACACAGGGAGAGAGATCCCCCCCCCACCCCTCCACCACATCCACGCTGGCACACGGGACACCTCCCTGTCACCGGTCCAGCTCGGCACAGCCGGCTCTCTGTTTGGGTGGTGTTCCTGCCCTCTCTCTGGAGGAGGGGAGCAGAAAGACAGAGTAAGGAGGGATGGGGAGGCAGGTGGAGGAGGCAAGGAGCACAGGCGAGAACATGGAGCTCAGGATGTGGTGTGCTGGTGTGGGGGAGAGCCAAAGAAGAAGGGTGGGGGGGGGGGCTCCACAAGCTGCTGCGTCTCCAATAGCAACCCAGCAGCGTGGGGGAGAGGCACTGTTTCCACACTGGTGATTTATTCCGTAACCTGATACAGTCCCAGGCAGCCATCAGCCCCCCCTCCGTGGCCCTGCTGACCCCCCTAGTCATTGTCCGGGTGGCATGCTCTTTATCGGAGGCGGGGGAAGCCATCACGATCACACCCCAAAAGCAATGATGATGTGCAGGGGGGATAACGAGCCTAACAGGCTTAACGAGCCCATATACTAAACCATCACGCTCCCAGTTGGCCCTGGAGGGCCCCTATTCACATTGTGTCCCCCCACCTCCAGGATGGCCCCCATCCTCACTAAACCATCTGGCACTTGCAGCTTCGTACCGAGATCCTGCCCGGCAGACCGCCCCGCTGAATCAGTGCCATCAGGATGAGTGGCTGAGACCCAATCGGGGCCGGCATGTGCACCCTGCTCATTAACACCTGCTCCCCCATCCTGAAGACAGTCAGGTGTAGTTCAGTGCGAGGGAGACACCCGGCGGTCCCCGGGGATCCAGGCAGGTGTGATGCCCCTGGGCTCCTTGTGCAGATTAGGAGGAACTGAAGAAGCCAGCATGTCACTCAGGCTCAGACCCCAGCTTAGTCAGTCACTGCTCCCTGGCCACCACTCTCCTCTGACATCTACACCCCCACCGTCGTTATGGAAAAGGCTGCCCGGCTGAATCCCCACCTCCCCGGAACACCGGAATCATTCTGTCTTTTTCGGAATAACACAGCCTGAATTTCCTCAGGACTCCCACTCAGATGAGTGACGCAGATGGTCCCTCCTACACGACCACATTACACACTGCTGCTACATGCATGTACAGACACCCCGCTTTCGTCACACCGGGGTATGAACGACCCCCCGAGGGACAGCTGATGGCAGCGTGTGTGTGTGTGTATGTGTGTGTGGGGGGGGGGCGGCGGTCGGCAAGGAGGACAGCTGGGACAGAGCCCCCGAGCTACACACACACCATGTGGGGGGGGGGGGGGGGGGGGGGGGGGGGGGGCACACGGCTGGCGGTGATGTCAGGCGTGGGCAGTCAGGGTAAGGCACTGCACTGCTGCTGATGTCAGACACGCAGCATCCTGACAAACGGAGGAGGGGAGGCCGAGAGACTGACAGAGGGAGGGAGACACAAGGAGAGAAAAGGAGAGAGAGAAAGACAGAAAAAGAGAGAGAGAGGGAGGGTGGGAGGAAGAGAGAGAGAGAAAGAGAGAGGGTGGGAGGAAGAGAGATCGATGGCAAAGGAGAGAGAGGGGAAAAGATGTGTGCGCGTTTGTGTGTGGTCCAGGTATACATCACATTGTGGGAACCCAATGTCCCCACAAAACACACACAGATCCTGTTATTATAAAAACCTGTTATTTTGACGTTGTGGGAACCATTTTTTTCTGTCCCCACAAAGGGAAAATCAATTTTAGAAAAATCTTTGGCTGCAATCAAAAAACTAACTAAATGCCAAAAGTCTTTTGTCTAGTTATTTATGGGTAGGGTTTGGGCTAAGTAGGGGTTAGGGTTGCTATAGTTAGGATTATGGTGATGCCCATTGAAATGAATAGGGAGTTCCCACAATGTATAGACACCTAATCTGTCTGTGTGTGTGTGTGTGTGTGTGTGTCTGTGTGCGTACAGGTGGTATGTTTCTGGCCATAGATGTTAGGCACAGCATCACCTTAAAGACAGAAGCAGCCCCTCTAAGAGCAGGACATGATCGGGGTGCGGCTGGGCAGCACGTAGCAGCATGCAGTGTAATATGGGTGGAGGGAGGGGGGGGAGGGCACATGTCAATATGTGATCCACGCCAATCAGGACAGAGCTAAACCCCCCAAAAACAGGAGGGATCCCATGGGGTCCGTGTGATGATTGTGCCCCCCGCCTAATCCCGAGGATGGTACTGGTCTGCGTAATCTAAAACCTGATGCCCTCTGCCCCCCCACACTCACACATCATGCACAAGACATTCACAGCTGGCATCCAAAGTGACAGCATGATGAGGCGTTACCTCCCTCCACAAAAAAAAAAAAAAACTGGGCCCAATTCAGCCCCCACTACCGCGCTCATACTGAACCACATCTTCTGAGACAAAAATGTGGCTCTTTATCAGGATCCATCTGAATCTGATGTAAAGCTGCTCTCTCCTGGCAGTGGGGAAAGAATGGACTCGTGGTAACCCCCCCCCAACATCCAGCCAGAACCAAGAGCGTGGCAACAGTACAGAGAGACCAGCCAAGAGCGGGGGCCAGAGTCCCACAGGCAGCAGAATGGAGACACCCCGAGGTTCCATCCCCATTCCCATCGTGGCCACTGGAATGACATTCAGTATCCCAGGATGAAGAGGGGGGGGGGTAAACCAATGGCTCTGGAAAATATGCAGAACCATTCCGGGTAGCTGGGGTAAATTCAACAGGGTGGGACAGAGATTCAGGGATCCGGCAAACCGACAGAAATTTTACATGCACGTAAACGCCTTTTATCTGAAGTCCAGGAGAAGCGGGACCAGCCAGAATCAACGGAACACCGAGAAACAAGGTAACGGGGTGAGTTGTTATGGAAGCCAGCCCCTTCCTGACCTGCAAAATGCCCGACAAACTTGCAGGATATTCCACAGGTAATCTGACAGGGAAACGCAGGAATCCCGGGAAGAAAGTGATCTGAAAGTCTGACATTATCAAAATGAATGTATGAATGAATCAATGAAGTATTTGCTGAATGAACCAGTGGAGTGGATACACTCATGTGGACTGATGCTTAGTGCAGCTAATCAGGAGGCTGGAAGTCCCAAGACCCTGCGATCCACTGAGCTGGCCCGTCTAATAGGAATCTTTTCAAAAACATTGCTGGGTAGAAGGGGCACCGTCCATGAACAATCCTGAATTTTAAAAAAAAATCAAACCACAACTCATGCTTTGCTGGCTCAAACCATCCAAACCCATTAGCTTCATACATAAGAATGCAGAACCTCCTTGAACCGTGCCTGAAGTGTGTACTGTGTTAGGAGAACAAAAAACGTGGTCAGGCCCCCGACATGGACTGTGGAATTGTGGGATGCATGGTCCTGCTCAGCCTTGAGAGCACACAACTCTTCTAAATTTATGAACTGTCATCTGAACAGGTGATTGAGCCCCTAGATATGGGAGTGAGGGTGCGCGAGGGCCCGTGGACAGGCGCGGAGATAGCCCCACCCCTCACCCCCACCCTGATGTTGCCGTCATCGGCACAAAAAACCTGCACCAGTGCTGGAGCTGAGCACAAATGATACAGCTGGCAGTCCTATTCTTGCTGCCGGGAAAAAAGCCACACGGCTTTTACATGGAGAAGCAGGCAGCTGTCACAAAAACTGGCCAACTTGCTTGTGACAGGGATCCTGCATTCTGTACCAGCAGCCAGTATGGGTCACCCCTCACTACCCTCAAGCTTGGCACCACACCATTACATCATCAATATGACAGCCAACATCTAATACCATGCCGGTGTCTCACAAACCGCCAGCTTGCAGTATTCTTATGCCGCAAAATTATTTAATAATGATTTATTCAACTATTATCTTTTGCTCAAAGCAAATCATGTCCTTTTACCCATTTGCAAAGCTGGGCTTTGTGCTGGAATAGCTCCAGTAGTTCCTCAGTCAAGGGACTGGAACCAGCAACCTTCTGGTGTTTAGCTACTATGTTACCGAGAACCCGGTAGAAACAACACACAGGGATTATGTTCCTGCAGTACCAGCACAAAGAAACACATCATCTGATATTCTGGAGTTTCCAGTAACAGTAATTATAGGGTCTCTGACTGAGTCGTGGGTAGCTTAGCGACACACACACCGAGGAAACCCCCCCGTTCCCCAAATCTCACACACACACACAGGCTCTATATCAGGCAGTCCTCCCTGATGCTACCAGTTACAGACAGAGCAGTCTGGGACGAAAGGTCACCAGCTCTCATGGCTTTGGTGGGGGGGGAGTTTGTTGGAGAACAAACGGATCATCTGGGGGGGAAGGGGGAACAAATTTAGCCCCGAGACTACTGAAGTCACAGCAGAAACATGTAGAGGCTCCAGAGTAGAGCTGGAGAACACATGGACACAGGGACCAGAAGACAGGAGACACAGGACACATGGACAGGGTCAGAAGACAGGGGACACACGTCACATGGACACAGAGGCGGGGCCA